CTCTCTCTCTCTCTCTCTCTCTCTCTCTCTCTCTCTCTCTCTCTCTCTCTCTCTCTGGTCTTCTTCTTCGTCGTGGTCTTCTTTGCAGGTGCGCGGCGGTTTCTCCAACCTTCGGATCCGCTATGGCGGACTATAACCCTCGGCGGCCACCTCCGCTATGGCGCATCAGGCCCTGCACACGACGGCGCGCATGGAATAGCGGGTACCAGCTCCGATACCAATGCAATCAGAATCGTTCTCATTCACACTTTTCATGCATGTAAACAGTAGTGCAGCAAACTGGCGATATGCGCCCACTCAAAACTCAGAGATATGGCATCCAGATACGAGTTCACTTCCAATAGGCTATGGCGACTCAGCGTCCCAAACAACTCACTGTTCACATACCCTGGATCACCCTGGATATCCCACACGCGTCACTCTGAACACTCGCACACACACACACACACACTTCACACTAGCCTACAGCAATGGCAGCTATGGCTGCCTCTACCCTATCGCTATGCTACGCTCCTTCTCTCTCGCCCACTTCAGCTCCGGGCTCTCTGCAGACCTCCACCACAAGTCGCTGTGGCAGCGCTTCCGCATGGCTCACGCAGGAATGAATGAATGGCTGGGCGCTGCCTCTTGATTTATGCGTCTGAAACTCGGTGGTCTGCCCCTTTCCATTGGCCCATGGTGCTCACAGTCCCTCGTGGTACTTGCTGGACCAGACTGGGACTGACTGGACCTTACCGCTGACTGACTGTGGACTCACTGCTAACTTACCGTAGTCGTACTGCAATTGCACTGCAGTTTAGTCCACCACTTGACGCACCACTTGCCCACTTGCCCACTTGCTGACCTTCTAGAAGGACTACAGCTAGGCTTCTGGAACTCGCTAAGACTCCTACTCTATAGATCTACAGATCGAACCCCTGCTTCCTTTGGGACCCTACGACAGGCTACTAACTGGTACAAATACACAGGTCGCGGGTTCAACTCTCGGGGTCTACCCAGGTACTGTACACAGGTAGGGCAAGGTCTAGGGATCGAACCTTGGGATCTGCATCTGCTACTGCTAAGAGGTGAAAACCGTTTCAGCACTACCCACCCTTCATTCTCCCTCCTCCGGGCGCATTTTCTACCTCCCGATTTCGTCTGCTCTCCCATGCCTCAGCCTCAAAGTCCGGGTGACGCGCACAGTTCCTATTTTTACCCTCCGCCCCCCGTTCTTCGCTGTCAAATGCCAGGCTCATAAATAGCTCCGGGCCGTTTGGATGAACTCCTAACTATGGTTCTCGAAATCGTATGAGTATCCCAAAAAACCTTCGTATTCTACTAACCACGCATTCATTCCATTAGTGTACATCCCACCCGCCTTTCAAATAGTGTACATACCAAAGATCTCTAACTATCTCAAAAAGAGATCTCCCTAATAAAGCCATGAAATCTTTTTTTTTTTTTTTTTTTTTTTTTTTTTTTTTTTTTTTTTTTTAAACCAAGCAGAGAGCACAATGCACCAAGATACCATCCAAATAAAAAAAATACAATGAACTCGTATGTCAATGTCGACGCTCTCTGGCCACACCAACAGTATCCACTGTCGCTCCTACTGTCTAGCGCCCAGCGCCCAGCCTATACTACTCAGCCTATCTACCCCTATCTACGTTCATGCA